GTTTTTTCAAAAAAAAAAAAAAAAAAACCCCGCCGGGTAATGTAACTATTTTGTGGGGAAAAAAAAAAAAACCTTTTGCGCAAGATCCCTTATCCCTCAAAAAAGGAGGTATACAGGATCTTGAGCAAAATACAGGATCTTTTGCGTAAAATGGACACATATACACTGCGTTTTTTTCAACAAAAACCTCTTCCACAAAACGAATCAGAAGAGACTATGCAAATGACAGTGTGAGAAATGCAAATGAGCGCTTCATTTGCATTTTTCTCTGCCGACAAAATGATGCAGTGTAGAGGTAGCCTGAGAGGGCAGGGGAGGAGTTGCTGAGCAGGAGATGGGAGAGGCTGGCTGGCTGCTTTTCCCCATGAGTGCTTCAGCCTAGAAGCACCCACAAGGATCCTGGACCACAAACGTTGCTAGACTATAGAAATCTGGACCATAGCAGCTAAACCTGTATGTGGTTTCTATCTTCTTTGAATCACTTGAGGAAGGTAAAGAGGTCAGAAGATGGTACTAAGTATTACTGGTTGTAGTTGTGTGACTTACTTTTAGAAATAGCATTTGTCCCTCAAGGTGAAAAGAATGGGCGTTCTATGTAGGGCTCACTTCATACACACTACAGTTACCTATTTTAGGTACTTTGGTCTCATCCCCTTTCCCCATTCTCACCTTTAGGCTGGAGTAAATCTGTTGTACATCTCCACTATGGGAAATATAGATGAGATACTTGAGTGAGGTATTTTTTTCTCCTTTACAAATTAATAAAATGAATAGAAAAAGTGTGTGTTTGTGTAAGTGTGCATGGGGATGGGGAGGAGGGAGGTGAAAAAACTGTGGTGAAAAAACTTCAGCATAATGGACTTTTTCCTTTCTCTCATGGGCTTATAGTGAGAACATCAGTCGGGTTGCCAGATGTCCGGTATTGACCCAGATAGTCTGGTATTTTCGCCTGCTGTCCAGTGAAAAGATTCAGAAAATACCAGACACCTAAAATATCCGGTATTTTCTGATTTCCGGCCTCCCCCACCCGCCAGGTGGCAAAAATACTGGACACCTGGAAACCCTACACACACTCAGCAACCAGCCTCCCGCCGGGCCTCCCAAACCTCTGAGCCCCCCGGACACCCCGGCTTACCTGGTTCCACAAGGAATCTGTCTTGATCAGGAAAACAAGATGGCTACCAGCAAAAAGCTTCAAAGGCTTTTCTTAAAGGGGCCATGCTGTTTTATTTTTTATTTTATTTTATTTTATTTTATTTTATTTTGCTTAATAACTCTCGGATCTTTTTTTCCCCCCCCTCAACAACTTTGGTCATCCCCTTTTTTTTCTCAACAGAATTTTTTCCCCAGGGTTTTTTTTTTTTTTGGCGGGGGAAGGGAATGTTTGGTAGTTTTAGTTAAACCATCTGGCAACCCTATATGTCAACTAGAGAGACAACCTTCTCTGGCTGTACTAATTGTTTAATTGGTTGAGGCCTCTAACAGAGGCTTAGGAAACTGGATGGGGAGTGTCATTTGTTGTGGAGGACATAGTGCACTGTAATGAAAGACTTTATTCTTATGAGCTGTTCTTTTAGTGTGCTCTAAGGATGGAGGCAAGTTTAGGAAGCAGTATAAGGCACATGTTGGTTTACATCATTCTTCTAGAGGGAAAATGTTCTTTTGAATAAAGGGCAGACTCTGTAGCTCCATAGGCTTATCTAAAGTTAAAGGAAGAGCAGCCATAGTTAATTTGGACTGCATAGAGTCCTATATATCTGAAAGTATCAGCATTCTTGTTAATTACCAAGGTTCCCACACTAACGCTCTAGCTCCCCTCCAGATTGGTGATAGAAATGTAGCCGTGTTAGCCTGGGGTAGTTGAAGCAAAATGCAGGACAATGTAGCACTTTAAAGACTAACAAGATGGTTTATTAGATGATGAGCTTTCGTGGGCCAGACCCACTTCCTCAGATCAAATAGTGGAAGAAAGTAGTCACAACCATATATACCAAAGGATACAATTTAAAAAAATGAACAAATATGAAAAGGACAAATCACATTGCAGAACAGAAGGGGGATGCGGGGGGGTGGGAAGGGGGAGGAAGGAAGGTAAGTGTCTGTGAATTGCTGATATTAAAGGTAGGGAGAGTGGGATGTTTGTGAGTTAATGGTATTACAGGTGATAATTGGGGAAACTGTCTTGGTAATGGGTGAGAAAGTTCAAAGACTTGTTAAGTCCTTGTTGGTAAGTGTCGAATTTTAACATGAATGACAGTTCAGAGGATTCCCTTTCAAGTGCAGATGTAAAAGGTCTTTGTAGCAGAATGCAGGTGGCTAAGTCATTTAGAGAGTGTCCTTTCTGGTTAAAGTGGCAAGAAACTGTTTTCTCTTTGTGATCTTGTCTGATATCTGTTTTGTGGGCATTAATCCTTTGGCGAAGTGTCTGAGATGTTTGTCCAATGTACATAGCAGACGGACACTTTCGGCACATGATAGCGTAGATTATATTTCTGGATGCGCAGGAATATGTGTTCTTGATCTTATAACTCACTTGGTTAGGTCCAATAATGGTATCAGCAGAGTGAATATGTGGACAAAGCTGGCAACGGGGTTTGTTGCAAGGGAAGGTACCAGGGTTGGTATTAGTGTGGTATGTCCTGTGGTTGTTGGTAAGAATCATCTTGAGGTTAGGTGGTTATCCTGCATTTTGCTTGTTAATTACAGTGGGCCATAAAAATGTACACAGGGTTAAAACTTGGTATCATACAGGATACAAATCTTAAGTAACAGTTTAAGATATTTTTTAGCATTAGATATTTAACCTAATGCGTAAGCTTGCCAGTTTTAGATTTAATTTTTTCACATATGTTGGAAGATTGTGTAAGGCAGGGTGAAGGGCGCAAAGTTGACTATTTGGACTGAACAGTATTTTTGAAGTTGAATTCATGAAGCAAAGGAGGATAATGCGTAGTAATTGCTTAATCTTTTCAGTTAATATTTCCTCAATTAACTTCGGTTTTGAAAAATCTAATCATTCACTTAGTATTGGAACATTAATTGGAGAGAAGCCTTTCTGAATTCTCCGAAGCTTGAGAAGGGGTTGTGTTTTAATTACGTGTTTACCCGAGGGCACTCCATGTGCCTATAATATTTACAGTAGATGATTTTTAAGTCACAAAATATGGATGTATCATCAGTGGTTCACCTTCGTATTTTTCATTTTAAGTGTTTCATTTCTGTTCTATGTTAATGCATTTTATATATGAGTTAATTTGATATATGAAAAATAAAGCTGGATTATATTTGATGGCTCAGTCTAGTTACCTCACTAGAAATCTGAACCAATATCCTCTCATGTTTGGCTCAAGTTTTAAACCTATTGTGCATATCTTTGTGTATTTATAATAAAATTTGAGCCTGATAAGGAGATGAAAATTAATGTTCCAAACCTGTTATTAGTAGAATTGTTGATTTAAGCTTATCCACTAAGTCACAGTGCCCTCTGATGCTAGAGAAATAGGATACCAAGTTACAGGTGAATAAACTAAATTTACTGCTAATTCTTGAAGGACCATAGTGCTATTTTAAGCAGAGTGAACTTGTAATAAAGCTTGAATGAGTGAATGGGTTGATGGGAAGATGAAGTATTTTTTATTATTAGCATTCTTGAGCAAATGAACTAAAGGTTAGCAAGATAATTAAAGTAGTTTGCTGATGAGCAGATTTATAAAGCAACTTGTTAATAGGTACACTATTTTGATTTTAAATTACTGCCAAATCCTGTTAATCTAGTTCCAAAGTCTAACTCAGTGCTAGAAGCTGAAGCCAGTTATGTGAATAAAAGCCAGGTGACAAAACAATCAATATTGGAGAGAGAAAAAAATCATATTTGGAAAAGTCAGAAACTATTTCATGAGCAGTTTTCTACTGATTTTGTGTTTTAAAATACTTTGAATTAGTGTATCATGGAAATTATATCAGATTATTAAAGATGAATTCATGCATAATTTTAAGGGCAGTATATTGTTAACCTTATCCTACTTAACCAGTGCCCCTAACATGTCTGAACATGGGCAAAACACTTTATGGTGTGTAAGTACGAATGCCAAGAAACTTAGAAAGCCTTCCAAGAGGTTACATCAGATTCCAGACTACCTCTTTATATTCTTCTGGGAACAGTTCAGGCCCCTGGATCCACAGATAATAGACCAAATCCTTCTTCCAACACCCTATAATGTAAACAGGTAATAGCTTGTTAACCTAGGACTTGGAACAGTGGCTGTGGAACTATTTTCCAGTATACCAGAGGTTTAGGGCGTGGATACCTTACCCCTGCTTAGTTTCCTACACAGTTTATTTACTTGGCTCTGTGCACGGAATGGTGCTGAATTTAACTCAGAGAGAACACAAACTCATAGTTCATTGATCCCACTAGAGTTAATGAATTACAGCATACGTAAATACTTTATAAAGAGAATTATTTAGTGACACTTGGTGATTTCATGCATTCCAGACCAGGATTGTCACTTAGGTGCACATTTAGAACCTTACTAGAACAATTTAAAAAAAAAATTGCAACACACATATTCGTATCGGCGCATATATGAAAGGAACGTATTGTTTGATGGGGAAAAAAATATCTTTCCCACATAGTCAGTGCATGTCTAAGATACCAGTGGTGCTCAGTGAAACAAGGTACAAGGAAATCACTTCTATATATCCCATTTTATAAGTGGATTCAGAATGGAACATTTTCAAATGGTTGCATTTTTTAATAACTTTAAATCTATTTCCATCCTTGAGTTTGTTTTGAACTTTTGAAACCTACACTTCCTATCATGACTAGAAGTTCACTAATTAGAGGTTGTTTATATGCAGTGTGAATGAAGTTTAAAGGAAGGAAGGGAGAGGAAGGAAGATCTATAATAGCCTGTGTAGTTCTGGGGTGTAGCTGGTTTAATTAATGGAGTTGTGGTGTCAAAACAAATGAGCCGTCGGAGATGATGTGAAAAACGAATAAAGTTGCAATCCTACTTTAGACAAAAAGTCATCTATGATGTGCTGCTTATGAATGTTGATTATTGGTGCCATATCAGAAACCTTTCTATCTTAAAGCTATTAGTATCATACACACCTGAATCCTGCAGTGTAATCCTTTAATTTGCCGCTGTTCAAGTGGTACAAAACAGTTGGATTCTGATGAGAAATGGACAGCAGATGTTTCCCCTTTGCCAGGGGCAACAGGCCCCTGATGGAGGTAGCAACAATGCTTCCTGCGCCGCCAGAGCTCCTCCACCGGGGGTAGGAACTGTGCTGAGGATGGCCATGCAGGGCTCAGGTACTATGAATCTTGACTGGAGTTAAGCCCCTTTTGTCCTTTGCCCTGAGAAGAAAAACAACTTCTCAGCTGCTCTCAGTAATGCCAGGGCTGGTTAGAATTGAATCAGGGAGCTGAGGTCAGTTCCTCCCCCTCGTTGTTTTGCTTAACAGAGAGTTCAGATGCGTAAGAGAATGGATTTTGCGCCCTTCCCCTTCGTATCATTTATTATATTTTATTTATAATTCTGTATTTGCGCAGGATTGCCAGGTATCCAGCTTTCAACTGGAAAGTGCAGTTGAAAAAGGGACCTGGCAGTGTCTCGTCACCATGGAGTAAGGGGAGATGCCACATGATTAACCCTGACCAGCCACTGTTCAGTCAAGGCCACCTCTTACCTTCAGGCAAGTCTCCTTGTCAGGCTGCAGCAACCCCTGGCCCAGCCCTGGGGCAGAGGGAGCTCAGCTGTGGGTGGGGAAGAGGGAGGCAAGGGAGATGGAGATGATACAGAAAGCACTGAAGGGAGAGGAGCAAGTTATGGATGTAGGATTTGGGGGGGGAGGGAGAAAAGGGAGGAGGACCCTTGAGGTGGACAGGGGGTGATGTTTCAGGTGTCTGGCAATTTAAAAGGGGGTAATCCTATAGTAATGGTTGTGTGAACAAATTAAGTTTAATTACCAGAAATAAGGTGCTGATAACTCTGAGATAAATAATACTCTTTGGGTTGAAATTTCTCATAACCTCCATGGTGACTTTATGAGTAGGGTTGCCAGATGTCCGGTATTTACCCGGACAGTCTGGTATTTTCAGCTCCTGGAAATACTGGAGAATACTGGACACCTGAAATGTCTGGTATTTTCAGAATTTTCCCTCGGCTAGGAGGTGAAAATGCTGGGCATCTGGCAACCCTACAAACACTCAGCACCTGGCCTACACCCTCCCCCCCTGGGTAACCCCTCTCTCCAGCTCCCAACACCCCCAGTTCCCCAACCCCAGGCTTACCTGGTTCCCCAAGGCTGCCGGCACAAAATGGCTGCCAGCCAAAAGACCTAGGGGAAGCAATTTTTGGCTTAAAAATTCCTTGGAGTCCTTTTTTTTTTCTTCCCTTTTTTTTGGGGGGGGGGGGGTGATGTTCAGTATTTTTGTTTCAACCATATGGCAACCCTGTTTATGAGGAGAGGGAGGGAAGGAGAGAGAGAGAGATTAAATTGGTTTGTGGTTTTGCTTTTTTTAAAGCAAGTTTTAGTATTTGTGAAAGATGATAGCAGGCCCACCAAGGGCAGAGGGAGGGTCAAAGGGAGCAGTTTCTCTGGGCTTAGAAAAAGGGCCTGGGACTCCCTGACACTGCTTCTGTAGTAGCTGGAGCCCTGGCACCCTTTGAATTGCTGCCGGAGTGCCACTTCATGTGGCTCTGAGAGCTGGGGGGACCATGCTGCATAGTCTAGGCAGCACTGAGGGCTGGCTGCCCCCTGGCTCCACCCCTTCCACCGGAGGCCCTGCCCCTTCCTGGGGCGCAGAGCCACCCCCCCACCTCACCTCTTGCCCCGAGGTTCACAGTGCCTGTCGGCCCTGCTGGATGAATAAAGCCCTTGGTTGAGCCAAATAAAAGGGCTAGTCCAGCAGCAGCAGTTGTGAACCTCCCCACACTGCCTAGTGGATGAGAGTGAGGGTATGTCTACACTACAGTGTTATTTCGAAATAAGGTATTTCGAAATAACGCGTCTACACACAAAATGCATTTCGAAATAGCATTTTCCTATTTCAAAATAGCACGTCCACACTGAGTGAATGCTGAATCGCATTTAAGGCCGGCCGGAACCAGTTCCGGCAGGGCATCAAGTCAGGAGTTACTTTGTGTGGCTGCTGCCTGAGGCTATCTGAGGCCTGTGCTTACAGGGACCCCCCTGGACAGCCGGTTCTCAGCTTTCCCTGCTTGCCTGCCTACCTCGATGAGGGACAGCAAAGCATTTTGTCTCTGCGTGCTCTGGTTGCCCTCACTCGGGACACCACAACACTCTGCAACATGGAGCCAGATCCACCCCTTGGCACTCTGGTGCTTCTCGTGGACGTGTTGCTGCGAGTCTCGCTGCACTTTCTGCCAGCTGCCATATGGTAGGTCCATCAGGGGGCTGTCAGTGTCCAGGAGGATAGTGCCTATGGCACTGAAGAAGCCACTAAGCAAAAAGACAAAGCACCCTCCATAACTTTAACCCAGTGATAAAGGCACTCATGGAAGGTCTATGGTTCTACCTCATGGGGGGAAGGGATTGAAGAGGGCTCTGTCACCTCATGGGTGAGTGTGCTGACCACTGCGCTATGGGATATTCTGATTCAAGACTCCCTCAGCCTCTCAATGAAGCTTTTGCAGCCTGAATATATAATTAGAGAGTGACTGGATTAGGGTGATTGAACCCCAGGTTTCCTCCATCCCTGGTGAATGCCATCAGGCTACAGAATCATTCCCCATCCTTGTGTGCTCTCTCCTTCTCTGTGGACAAAATGGCTTGTTATTTATCCAGTGTGCATCAGCTTCAATAAGATAGAGGGATTTTCATAGCAGAGTATCCAACAGCCCAATGATTAAGACAATTACATGAGAAGCAGCAGATCTGTGTTCAAACCCCTTCTAGCCTTCTGCTGGAAGGCTATTTGAGATGCAGGGGTCTTCCATTTCCCAGGAGAGTACCTTGATATCTGGGATAAAAGTTGAAGAGAGGTACTCCTCTCTACCACCCCTCAGGATGTTTTGTACAAATTCATCAGAGAGGCCCAAATGCTCAGAAGGCACCTGCCACATCATGCCATACACACCACTTAGATGTTCACTGTCTTCCCTGACTTTGTGAATCACTCTGGGACTCAGATGAGAAATAGGCACCCAGATACCGAGAAGGAACTGACATTCAAATGTTAGAAAAAGCTACAGCAAAAGTGGACTTTTGTCGACGAAACTTGTCAAAGTCAGAAAGGACTCACAGATTTGGCAGACTGCTCTGTTTATTCAGCAAAGCTTTGCTAAAATGCATGGAGAAAATGTGAGCGCCATACAAGGTTCAAACCTCTTGATTTATACAGTCAAAAGAAAGCCAAAATTAACAGGATTAAAAGGGGGGCAAAACTTCACATAATTAGTGTGAGGCTACTCAAGTACTCTTCATTTCCACATCAAGCACACAGCAATACTTATTTCGAAATAGCTATTTTGAACTTGGCATTATTCCTCATGGATAGAGCTTTGGCTGTGTAGACGGTAGTAAAGTCATTTCAAAATAACGGCTGTTATTTTGAAATAACTTTTCTGTGTAGACATACCCTGTGAGACTAAGGGTGTATCTAGACTACAGGGTTTTGTCGACAAAAGTGGGGTTTTGTCGACGAAACTATACCTGTGTCCACACTACCTCTGAGTTCTGTCGACATAACGTTGACAGAACTCAGCAGTTTTGTCGACGCTGGTAAACCTCATTTCACGAGGCATAACGCCTTCTGTCGACAGAGTTCTGTCGACAGAAAGCGTTACTGCATGTAAACTGTCCTTGCGTCTACACTGCCATGTCGACAAAGCAGCTTGCTTTGTCGACAGAACTGAATGTAGTGTATTTGTCGACAAAACTTCTGTCGACAAAACCCTGTAGTCTAGACGTACCCTAACTCTGGCAAGACAAAGGGTGACAAATGTGGTGACTGATTTAGATTAGCTTATGGCAAAATTTATTTAGCAATCGCTGTGTGACAGGGTGAGGAAACCCCGCACAGCCCCAAATCGGTCTGCAGAGGCGGGCGGCGGCTGGCCGACCT